TACTAAAAGTGGGATAACCAGGAAATACAAAACCACTTATAAAGGGTTCTTGTGAATACTCTTGAGAAATAGAAATAACAGCATCTAAATTTAATCAAGCTTTTGTAGTTAACTTCTGGTTCACCTAAAAAATGCAGTGGATAGAGGAACATGTTAAGATGACACTACAAAGAAGAGTCACACCAATCCAGACTGTAAGATTTTCTCAATATAACTAGGTTTCTTCATTAAATCAATGGACCTGAGGGTGGGGATGAAGGGAAAGTACGGCTACAGATTAACAGGGTTAAGAGAAATAACCAAATGTCACTTATGGCTTCTCAAAGGATCCTATTCTGAACAAATCAACTCTTAAAATACATTTTTTGATAAAACTGGGGAAATTTGAAGATGGATTGAGTACTCAATGACATTAAGAAATCACTGTCAAATTTGATGGGTGTGATAATCATATTATGGTTTGGTAAGAAAATGTCATTACTTTAAAGATATCATGGTAATGTTTGAGATGACATGACATGATGTCAAGGATCTGCTTCAAAATACAATAGAAAAAATGATGAACTGATAAAACAAGTGTGGAAACTACTGAAACAAGATGATGGGAATGTAATGTAGGATTCACTATATTGGTATATGATGACTGAAATCTTTGACAGTAAAAAGTTTTTAAAAACTATCATGGGAAAAACCCATTCAAAAATAAAACAAAAGCTTTCAGAATGAAAGTAACTTTAAAAGAATATTTTAAACTTGTTGATTTTATGCATCACAAACACATAGGGAAAAATTTAACAGCTAGGCAACATTCTATCAGAAAAATACCAAAATACATTTATTTGGCATGAATAAACAAAGTATTATTTGTTTATTATTAATATATTGTTCAATAGTTATGAAGAATTTCTTTTGAGAATTCTGTTAACTTTGCTAAAAAGCTAAAATTTAGCATCCAAAAATTACTAACTTTTCTCTATATTTATCAACTCTCACTACACAGTAAAACTAAAACCATCTTGGGATCTTAAAAACCTACAAACTACCGGGACACACTCCTCCTGATTTTCAGTCTAAGGGTAGGGCCTGGTGATTTCAACGTGTAGAATAATTTGAGAGACACTGTTCTACAGAACACAGATTTACCTTTATGACAAATGTTTGTTATATCTGTCCTCAATTATCAATTATTTTAAGATCAACAGATTCCCCATAAAAAGTTTTGTGTTGCCTTTCTGTTAAGTCCATATGATGAGATGGCTGACAATTACTTTGTTCTACTCACAATGCATAGAAAGCTCTAAAGAAAGTATTCTTTGCACACAGTATCTTCCCTAGTTTTTTAAATGCAGATAACATGATCATGAAAAATTACTTCCAGCAATTTTTCTAAAAGTGATCCGCCCCATAATAAATTAAATACACTTCCTAAACATGATAAAATGATCACAGTAACAACGTCTCAATTTATAATCTCAAGGATTTTTGTCATCCTGTTCTTTGAAGTAGAATATGTGAATAACTAATAGTCCTGTGAATAACTAATAGTCTGCTGGATTTATGGTGGCGTATTTACGATGTCAGATTTCTAATTATTTACAAAGCACTAGGTTTCCCTTCTTGAAAGAAGTATGTTTTCTGAGACACTGTAATCCCTAGCACTAAAAGAAAAAGAAAAACCAAGTATAAACGCTAGTCTTAATAAAGCATTATGTAAAATAAACCAATTAAAATTTATAATATTGATTCCAAATTGAGCCAAATCCTTAGATATAAAATTATATGAGGTAAAGTGAATCCCTTAAATATTTGCAGAAAATATTTCCTACTTGTATTCATACAGAATCTTTAAAATAAAGAGAGATCTATCAATTATTTCATTTTGAACAAGTACTACTTGAGGAAGACTCAGCAGGAAATGGATCCATCCCATCAATATCAGTTTGCTGTATGTTGCAGTCACCTGACATTAAAATATCACTGGAGGCAAATAAACACAGAAAAGATTTAGTTACCATTCCAGAGGGCATGACCTTATTACTAAAGTAATACTGGATGTTGCTATAAAGGGTGCCTTAAAGCTACTCTAAGAGGCAAAACAGTAAGTGGTTCCTTATAAACATGACAATATTCACCAATGTGTAAGAGAAAAAATTAACTTCATGCCCTGTGAATGAATCTTTGGATTGAGATAAATTATTTAAAAATAATTTTTCTATAAACTGGATACTGTAAAATACTGTGAATCAACTTGAAGACTCAGCTTATATGAAATATGGATAACCTTAATACACCTTTTGCATGTACATCCCAATAGAAAGACAACCAATGCAGAGACTTGTGTCTAATAAGCACTTAAAAATTACAAGCTAGCTTGTAAGATAATAAAAAATTAAAATAATCTGACACACTCCTATCAAATTAATATCCTAGCAAAACAAAAAAATAATACTCAATGCTAGTAGGGAAAAAAGTGGATTGGCCAGCCTCATATACCATTCATATTAGTTTAATATCACCTTTCTAGAAAGAAATGTAGTGAGAATCAAGAGTCTTTAACACTTTTTTTGGTTCAGTAATTCTAGCTCTAGGAATCTAGTTTAAGGAAATAATTTGAAAGACAAAAAGTTACATACAGGGTATCTGTCACAATGCCTGCCATATATATTAATAAAAGTACAGAAGTAGGTTGACTGTCCATCAAAGGTACTTTCAAAAGTATTAAAATTACTTTTTAAAAAAAAATCTTATAAAACAATTACAATAGAACATATCTTAAAACTACAATATGATTTTAATTTTGCACAAAAGTACGCATTTACATAGAAAATAAGAGAAAAAATGTAACAGTGGTTACCTCTTATAAATGATCAAAACTATCAGAGTCTATTCTATTATCTGATTTTTGAATCTTGTAACTCCCCTAACATTCAAAAAATAATCTGGTGATACTTAAAAAAACAACCCAGTTATAACAAGACACAAAACCACTGAAATAGGTAAATGATGAAACCATTTAGTAAAAGGCGAATTCACATATCTCTACCACAAAACATTTCCTTTTCTTTTTTATCAGGCAAGAATGCAGAAATGAAGATATATTAAAATATTCAAAACAAAGAAAAGGAGAAGACACTAGCCACATTTATTTATTAAAGAGTAAACTTTACTCCTATGCTTTTAATGCAAAAATACACATTACCCGAATTATGAAAGTACAGAGAAAGACAAGTTAATTATGCCAGGGCTTCATATTTTTTGAGAAAAATGTTTTATTACATAAAAAAAACTTCACCAGGGCTATGAGGTTACAAGGAAACAGTAATGAATTTCCTAAAAGAATCTTCGTGACTTCTAACCAGAGCTCCACCTAGAATCCAAACACTCAGAGGGCACATCTAACTATACCTAAATGGGCAAACACACAAAACTCTTTAAAGTCCAAGTGACTGTTATAGTCCTGCCACTAGCTGGAATTTCTTGGTATTTTACCCTTAAATTGTTTTGCGAGTTCCATGTGAATTATTAAACTTCTCAAAGACGATATGTCATCTACTTTGGTTATTTTAAGGATTAAATAATGTGATTGTACAGTGCCTAGAAGGACCTAGAAGCTATTTGCTAAATGTTGTTTTTTTTTTCTCTTCTGTAAAATCCTATCATTTCTATCAGTAAAGAATTTAAGAATCTATAGTAATGATTATAAGCAAAGATCATGTATCACTCATTGTCTGACACTTGCTGTTACCTTTAAAAATGGTACTTTATGAAATAATCAATTTAACAAGCCAAGTTGAGGGAATAAAGGCTTAAAGTAGGTCCACACTGTGATAGAGACTCTTTCAGAAAAAAGAAAACGTTACCAACCTAATGTCTCAAAGGCATGATAGACAGTTATGGCTTGTGCTCGGTATGTTAGAAAATTAGAATAAAGGGTCAGTTTTGGCTAAAGTCACCAGAATTAATTTAAGTATCAACTGCTTCTCTTGTGCATTAGAATGTCTCTGTTCATAGATGTATCACTTCTATTACAACTTACAACAAAGAACACAATTGTTACATATCCACAATAAATATAAATATATTTCCAAGGATTACTTCATTATAATCTGCTTTCTCTGACTGAGGGACATAAACTAAACTGTAAGAGTTAGTAACTGTAACTGTAGTTTGTAACTCAATCTTGGGTTCCATATGGACACACTCTGATTTAAAGATAATCTTACAAATGTCAAATTTCAAGAACTTCCAAAACACAGCAAATAAAACTAAAATTTCATCTTGTTATAAATCACTCATTTTACTTACAAAGTAACATATTCCCTTATTCTTCAGTCCCTATTATCTTCAGCCTGACTCCATCAACTAGACATTGCAAATTTTTGCATTTTTTAAATGTAAGGTGACTCAAATCCATTGTAGAACAAGGTGAAATATAAATAATTGAGAGAAACTGTGAATACCAAAATAAATATTATAGAAAATTCTTCCTCATTTAAATTATTTTTAAGAGACAAATTATAATATGCACTGAAAAAACCCATAATAACTAATTCCATTACATGTTTCACCTCTTCACTCTCCACTGGTTCTGTGCAGTGCTAAATTAAAGAACATCAGAATTGCTAAAGACTAAAGAATATGCACAGACTCTAGACGTAGACTTTGACCAAGACAGTGTGTCATCAAGTTTAACATGTAAATAACTCAACAGTATTTCTTTATTAGAGCTCTTCTTTTATTTTGGCAGAAAAGAAAAAAAGTGAGGATGGTGAAAGGAATATAGCTGATAGAACTGTAATTAACACTTTCAGCTTTTCTCCCAACAGCATTCATGTCTCTTATATTTAAAAAAAAAACAAAAAACAAAACCAAAACAAAATAACCTAACACAATTTCTTGAATTCCAAAATGGGGGATGTTTTATACTTACTGTAGTTTTAATAGGCACTTTCCCATTTGGCAAAATGGAAGAAAAGTGGTATAGACAATGAAAATCGTACCTAAGAGAGAGGTCTCCTTGGCAAATGCTGCAGCAATAGCTGGGTCCAATGCAGGCTGTCCATCCCCAGATGGAAGATCAGGTCGAGTATAATCCCTACTTTTATCATTGTTGTATTTTACATTCAAATTCACAAGTTTGGAAAAATCAATCCTTAGTGTACAGCAAGCATTATAAATATTCTGACCATCTAGGGCCTGTAAAAAGTGAATACAGTATATCAGCAGTCTTAAGAAATTGAAATTAGCAAGAAATAGGATTTTGACAATAAAACCCAGTAATGAAGACCGGCACATAAAAAACACCAGGAAAGGGATCAAGTATCATGCATCATTCTTTGTTATCCAGCTGCCCATGTATGTTTCCACAAATACTATCTTCTTTAAATAGAAAGTGCTACTTAAATCTAAAATACAACCAGTTAAACATATTTGCTAATGCTTTTAATTCAAAAAATCTGCAAATAATTAAGAAACAAACAAGGATTAAAAATACTGTCAGTCCTGTCAAAGTCATATCGTAATAGTCTGCATAATACTTTAATTTTATTATACATACACATTTTTTGCTGGATGGCAATACTCAGAAAAGAATTGTTGTAATTTTACAAGGTAACTTTTGTTTGATGACACATTTTATAAAGTGCCTCAAGCCAAGTAAGTATCACTATAATGCATAATAGCAATTCCCATGAAGTGGGCAAAAACTATTATTTCTGTAACTTGAGGTGTTCAACCTGAATCAAAATAACTTGAATTAGAAAATCCAACATCATCCCAGAAAAGCTCTGGAATAGAAGAATACGAGCTCTAGAGCTATAAGCCTACATTCAATTAGGTCATATTGAGCAAGTTACTTAACCTCTCTGAATATCTGGATCTTTCTTAATCTGGAAAACAGAGCCAGTAATGGCTGCCATGATCCTCACAGGTTATTTTGAGGATTAAACAAAAGTTCTCATGTGAAAGTACAATGTGATTTATAAAAGATCATGTCGCTGTTATGATTATGTTTTTTTTCCTGTTCCTATATAATCACCTTTTCTACTCCAGCTGGATATAACCCTAGAACAAACTAAAGAACAAGGAAATATATTGTTAATTTTTCATTAGAAGAATAAACATTTACTGTATAAAACAACAGTTCAGAAATGAAGAAATGTTCAGCTCTCTAAATCACCATGAAAATGAAACAAGTTCTTCTGATAATAGATCAAGATATTAAGCCTGATGTTTATCAAGACCAAGATCCATTACATGTATAAATCTGGAACTTTAGTGTTTTAGTAGTAGACCAACATTTTTTTTTTTTTTTTGGGCAGACTTCTGGAGACTGGACTGAAATATTTATGAACCTTAGGACAAATTCAAGAGGTTGTTGAATTTTTCCCTCCAACACTCACTAATACTCCACTGTTAATCTGTTTTTTTCTGAATGGTTATTCTCTTATAAAGCAAAATGCTAGGGGGAAATATTTTCAATTAACTGAAAATAACTGCCAAGATCAGAACTAGTATATGAAAAGAGTTTGGTTGGCTCTATCACTTGAGCTGCCTTTAGTGTGTTGGTTCCCAGAGCTTTCAAAAACAAACAAACCAAGCAACCAAAAACCAAAAACATACTGGGCTCCCACCCCCTCAAAGATTATGATTTCTTAGGTCATGACGGCCTAAGAGTCCCATTTCTTTTTTTTTTTTTTAATAAACAAGCTACATGACAAGAACCTGGGTGGACCATGGACCATACTTTGAACAAGTTCTCTTCCGCAAAACCTAAAGGTACACTTGGCTGGCTAAATGAATTCCCAGTGCCGAAGATATAGTTTTCATCTCTCATGCATTTGGAACAACTGTCACTAGAAAAGGAGAGGTAGGCTTAAGATTCTCTTTCTAAACCTGTATTTTGTAATTTTATATAACCTCCACTGTCTTAACAAGTATAAAAACATAGCAACTGAATTACAAAGTTCAAAACGAACTCATTTTATAGTATACTGAGATATACAAGGATGACTGTAAAACAGAAGAGATCTGTAGCACAGCAGGTGCTGCTCCCAGCAAGTGCTCGGAGAGCTGTGACACAGCATGAATGTTCTAATACCTACAATGTGCCATACACTGTGCTATGTTCCAGGAAAACAGCAGAGACCAAAATAGAAAAGCCACCACTCTTACATAACTTACAGTAAAAGAAAATACAGGGATGCCTGGGTGGCTCAGCTGGTTAAGCAGCCAACTTCGGCTCAGGTCATGATCTTGCAGTTTGTGAGTTCGAGCCCTGCGTCAGGCTCTGTGCTGACAGCTCAGAGCCTGGAGCCTACTTCAGATTTCTGTGTCTCCCTCTCTCTCTCTACTCCTCCCCTGCTCACGCTCTGTCTCTCTCTCAAAAATAAAATAAACATTAAAAAAAAATACAGACATCTCACAAATAATTACAAATTTGATGTGTGGTAGTGAGAACTAATAAACGAGGAGATGTGATGTAGCTGGAAGTTTATGGAAGACCTCTCTGATACTTCTAAACCTGAAAGAGGAAGATAGGTAGAGGCAGACATAAAAAGAGAGAAAGCAGAAGAAGCAAATGAAACATCAAGCTCTAAACCTGAGAAATCAGAGAAAATAGAGCATATGTAAGGTATTCTAGAAAGTCCAAAGTAGTTGGGGCGCCTGGGTGGCTCAGTTACTTGAGTGTCCAACTCGATTGCAGCTTGGGTCATGATCCCAGGGTCGTGGAATTGAGCTCCATGTCAGGCTCTATGCTGAGCATGGAGCCTGCTTGCGATTCTCACTCTCCTCCTCTGCCCAACTTCCCCCAACCCCTACCATACACACTGTCTAAAATAAATAAAATGAAACTTTTTTTAAAAAATCCTATTTAGTTAAGAGGGGAGATGAGATTGGAAAGCAATGAGGGCTGAGTTAGAGTTTTGTAAGCCATGTTAAAGACTGAGGACTTTATACTAAAGACAAATTCAGTCACTAAAGGGCACTGAGAATGGAAGTAATATGACTTTATGTTGAGATCATCCTTAGTAGTCTGTAGAAAAATACATGTAGGGGAAGAAGTCAAAGTGGTGAGTCAGAAGGCCTGGGATTCAGGAACTAGCAGCCCAAAGCACTGCACGAAAAGGTATGTGTCTCAGAATCTGTATCAACAGCACACTAAACACACTACTAGAAGTATGCTGACTTGTATTTTGGCAAAAGCTCCTGGTGGCACCAAAGACCAGCACTATGAATAACACCTGGTTTCAACCAGGGTGGTGGCAAGAGAGCTGGGAGACAAAAGGACAGATTCAACAGAAATTTAGGATGAGAATCAGTAAGGCTTGGTGATAGGATGAAAGGAAGAGGAATAAAAACCATGTTTTCTGGCCTGTTAGTGACATGGAATTTGATACCCTGAGCTTTTTAATGACATAGGGAACACCACAGGTGAAAGAAGGCTTGCTTTTTGTGGGGGAAAGGCTGAATGGGTAGGTGACAGGAGTTGAACTGAACACACTAAGTTTGAAGGTGCTAATGGTCCACTACGTTCCTAGTCTGGGTCTCTCAGAAGAGATCTAAACTAGAAAGAGCCATGTGGGCACTGTCAGAATCATGAAGGTAAGACTGAGCTGTGGGGAACTGGTGAAGTCCCCAGGCATACGGGAAAGGATATGATGAGACACAGACAGGTGGACTATTTCTAGGCGAGAAGTGTTAGAGACCAGGAGAAGAGATTTTAAGAAAGAGAATGGCTCACACGGAATTAAATATACTTAGAGGGTAAGGACAATAAAGACCGAATAACGCTAGTGAGATTCAGCTACTGTAGTGATCCTGGGGACACTGGGAAGAACAATTTGGGTAAATTGGGGCTGAAACCAAATTATACACTAAGTAAAGAAATAAAAAGGGGAGGGGCGCCTGGGTGGCTTAGTCGGTTAAGCGTCCGACTTTCGCTTGGGTCATGATCTCGCGGTTCGTGGGTTCGAGCCCCGCGTCGGGCTCTGTGCTGACTGCCAGCTCAGAGCCTGGAGCCTGTTTCAGTCTGTGACTCCCTCTCTCTCTGACCCTCACCTGTTGACGCTGTCTCTCTCTCTCTCCTAGAAATAAATAAAACATTTAAAAAAAAAAAAAAAAAAGAAATAAAAAGGGGAGAAGTATAAACAGCAAACAAAGAGAGCTTATTTAGTAGGTCTGGCTACAAATATAAATGCAAAAGGACAAGAAAGGGTGATTGATATGTGGAGTTCAGGGTAAATTCACTCAAAATGAGAGAAATTTATTGATGCTTGTGACACTGGTGACAAGTAGCCAACACAGAGAAAAATATAAGAAGAAGAAGGGATGACAGACAGCGCAAAGTCTCCTGAAGGGCCGAAGAAGACAGGATCTGGTGTTTACTTGTCCTAAAGCTATCAATGCCTTTTATCAGAAGAGAATAATAGGCATGGTGTAAGCGGATTTTGTGAGAAAAGCTGACCTGAGTTTCTATCTGATACTTTCTATTTTTTCTGAGAATAAGGTCATAAGGAGTGACGAGAGACTTGGTAGACTGAGAATTTTCTGATATAGTCTTTGTGAAAAATGGGAATGCTGGAGAAATGTGGTGACATTTGTCAAGCAGAGTAGGAGGCCTATTCGTAATTAATGTTGATGAATTTCAACTGGTAACAACTGCTACATCATAGTATATTCTCTAGGTATACTCAGTCTGGATACAAGAAAGAAGAAAGATTACTAGAGTCACCAAAAGTAGATGTTATAACAAGGGATCTGTATTACAAGATAATGGGGCAAGCAAGTTTGGGAAATGAACTCTTTTTACCTTCTCTAATAAGTGAAATGAAGTTCAGTTCAGAGACCAGAATAGTTAATGGTGAATATTAAATAATTACCTAATGACTCCCTCATAATTTAAAATTGTAGATCTTTGTAAAGAAAATCTGAGTTTAACACTCACAAATACCTGATGCTTACTCTCTGTACACAGAAGACTGGTTAAATTTAAAACTTCAATTATCTGATAGCATAATTAAAGTACAATCTTTTGTTAGGTCTACGAATAGATTACTTCAGACAAAACATATAAACTACTTTCCCCACTGAATTATACTCCAAGTATAGTATAATTCCAAATCAAATACTATTCCATTGCCTTTTACCAAATACTCTTTCCTTTGCATCAGAAGGGATGACCAAAAAATTCCACATTAAGAAAAATATGGACTATACTTAAATATTTGGAAGCTGTGAAAAGTGCCATAAAGATTATGGCTTCTAGATTTTCTGATCAAACCTCATACCACATGGATTTTGGTTACTCTTTAAATATAAAATATATCCAAAGTTAGAGGGCAGGGGCATGTAAAGAGAAATCAGTATTTTTGGAAAAAAAGAATTCCAAGTGTTAATGTATGCCTGAAAAGGAAAATATAATAAGATTAGATCACGTAACTTCAGAACCAGTGAGTAGCAACATACTGGAGAAAACTAGACTGAAATATGTCTACCTACGTATAGTGCGCATTGTAAGTAATTTACATCTTTAAATATTAGCATCCACTTGTAACACAAGAGTCAATCCCTGTTCTGTTGACCACATGAAATATTAGGAAAAAATGAGATAACAGCACTCGGTAAACACTTCAATTATGCTAATATTAGTGGTATAGCAAAAATGCTTGAAGCTATTTTTGCTCCCCAAATGACATACTGAAGTTGGAAACACAATGAAACAGTCAAAAATGGTCTTGGCTTCCATACAATCTATCTTGATCTGCAGGAAGCACTGAAGTATCACAGACCATAATTACAGACTTATTTCAAAGTATGAGTAAAAGGGAGAAAAAGAGGTAAGACAGAAGGTAAGGGAAGATAAGTAAAGACAGTTGATGCAATGGTTTAATAATGAATGTTTAATGGTTTAACAATGGAATAATAATCACAATGAGATAATATGGCACAAGACATGAAAGAGCTGGAGCAAGGGTAGATTTAAATGAGATACAAAAACAGAAGATTAAGGCAGTTAGTAGCAAAGATATGGTATGCAGTTTTCAAACAGTGGTCATGATATGGGAAGATATTTTACTTCTTTTAATAGTTTCTTATCCTCTCTATATAACAACAAAAAAACATAAGTGATGTGAATAAAAAGTAGACCAGGAATCTATTCAAAAAAGTGGTCTTTAAAAAATAAGTCTTTGAAAAGAGTATTAAATATACTGTCGTATATATGAGAGCCTATCATAACATCTGAACCACACGTGTGATTATTTTAGCCAAACTGTCTTGATAGCTAAATGAATCACTCTGAAACTGTAAAACACGCAAAATCTTTACTGGTGTTCATGCACAATATAATCCTGCCATATTCTCAAGAGCATAAAACTTTGGACCTAAATCAAAATTGGAAAATAACATAAGTCAATTTTATAGATAACCACAGATAGAACTATCCTTAAAAATAAACATTTCTTTCTATCACAAATACTAAGCTTTTCTAATTGTATCTAAATGACACCAATTTGTGCCATCTATAATGCTATATGGTGTTGCCAAGTTATGTCTGTATTAGTAACACCAGCAATATATGTGTTTATGTGGACCCACCACTGAAAAAATCACTATCTCAAAAAGATAAAATAAAACAAAACAAAACAAAACAAAAAGCAAGCTCAAGACTTACTAGTTTTGCTTGTTGAGCATTTACTGGATCACCATACTGGAGAAGAGCTTGAAACTGGTTATTTTTTGTAAATGTGATTATCTTCAATACAGCACCAAACTTTGAAAATATCTGTTAAAACATTAAAATGAAAATATTATTTATCTACTGCTATCTTTATTTCTACAATTTATAGGTAAACACAAAAATTAAACTTACTTGGTGAAGAACATCAAGTGTTACAGGGTAGTACATATTGTCAATAATTATTCTAAGCACTGGACTCTGGGCTGGAGTCACTGCACTCTCACTAACTGTGGTGCCACTAAGAGGAGTATTTGCTGTCTGGACAGCTGTCACAGCTTGAAGAACTGCTTGAGCACGCTGAAAATTAAAAGATAAGCACTTCAGAAACACTCCGTATTTTCACTTACACTTTGCTACATGTTACACTATTAGTTCATTTTTTTCTACAACACTTACAGATTAAACAACATTTAATAATCATTCAATAAATACTTTGAAGCACCTACCATAATTCAAGTATTCTATCTACTAGTATTTATTTCAAAACAATTATCTAAGGTTTAGGACCTAGATAATTGAAAAAGCAAAGACAGGCAATGTAATTTACTTTCAAAAGAACAAATATAGTTTGGCAGATTCATATCATCAGAAAATGTTTTAAACAGAAACTTTTAGAGAACAATAAAACTTCCACTTTATATCATTCACTCCATAAAAAAGGAACCCAGTCAGTAAACCTCAGCAAGGCGATTACCATATTAGCCAAAAGAACTCCCATATGGCTTATTATTTCTAATACAATCTTAAAGGAGGAATATTCAGAATACATGTGAAGTCTTTTTCATACTAGCATAACTCCTAAAATACTACTAATTAAACCAGGACAGATCAACTACTCTTAAGATCCATCTTATTTTCTGAGATTTTAAAATGTGAAAAAATATACATACTATGTCAGATTCACCAATGAGGAAATAATATTTCTACTTACCTGGGGTCAAAAAACCTATATAAAGGCAAATAATTGTTAAACAACAGTAACAAATACTACTACATTGCTTTACAGTTTGAAAAAGCTACATTGGCAGATGAAAAGGAATATAAACTGAGCATGATAAATGATAAATGAAAAGGAAAACGAACACAAAAGAATTAGAACACTAATGAGAGTAAACAAAAATGGTCATTTTGACAGCACATATACTATGGTAGAAATCATTCTGCAATAAGTAACTGTATCAAATCAACACAGTATATACCTTAAACTTACATAATATATCAATTTTTATTTCAGTAAAGCTGGAAACAAAAAAGAAAGTCATTTTCCTGAAATGTCCCATAATCAGGAGATCACACAGTATGGAATTCAAAAAGACCACATGCCCATCTGGTCAAATCTCATTATTTAAAGGCTAATTAAATAATACAACCTACAGATTTATATATTGGCTGAAGTGACTTGAAATATTTTAAGTGGTGTTATTGCAGTATTACTTCCTTCACTAGTAAAGCATGTCCTTACATATATTTATGTTATTACAAGCATGAAAACATCACAACTTAGGAAAATAGTAACACTAACACATCCTATTTCAAATAATGGAATGTCTTTTTAAAATAGGAATCACATGATCATGGTATACTATCCAAATGGTACAAAAGGTTCAATATTTCCTCTGCAACCCTGTTACTCTGTATCCTTTCCCATATCTATTCCTTCCCAATATTATTGTGGTACGGTACCCTTCCATATACCGTGTGTGTGTGTGTGTGTGTGTGTGTGTGTGTGTGTGTGTGTGATATGTCTATTACGTACTTTTTTCCCCAGTACTACTCACTTTTCTCCATTTTAGCTTAACAATTAGGTTTTCCACTATCATTAACAAATAACTTTCCATATTTTTTAAATTGATGAAACACAGTTGGCTTGCCAACACAGATTTTTAATTGAACTTAATGAACTACTACATATACACATAAAAGGACATAAATCCTAAGTGTATACAGCTCAATAAAACATCACAAACTGAATATATCTGTAAAATGACTAGATAAAAATAGAACATTATCAAAACTCTAGAAGCCACACTTCATGCTTTCTCCCAGTTAAATACCTGGCATCATATAATATGTGTTCTACTTTAGTCTGGCTTCTTTCAATAAATGTTACTTTTATTATGCACATCCATGTTTTGCAAATTATCAGTAGCTTAATCATTCTTTTTGTATTCTAAGAAATTCCAACAAATGAATATGCCACAACATATTCTACTGGTTCTGAACATATAGATCAACTCCAGTTTGGGACTATTATGTATTAGTGTTTCATAAATTTTCTCATATATATCTTCTGATGCACATATTATGTATTTTCTCAGGTGTACACCTAGGATAGATTTACTAAGACAAAGATTATGTATATGCTCAGCTTTACTACATATTTCAATTTTTAAACATGATTCTATGAATTTACATTCCTATCATGTGTATATATATATATATATATATATATATATATAAAAGTTCCAGCTTCCCTACCCTGTTACCATTTGGCATTACACATCTTAATTATAGCCAATCTGAAAGTACATGGTAGTAGCTTACTGTGATTTTAATTTATGTTTCTTTTTTTTTAATTTATTTATTCTGAGACAGACAGACAGACAGACAGACAGAGACAGAGACCGGGGGGGGGGGGGGGGGGGGGGCTGGGAGAAAGAGTGCACACATGCACACGCTAGCAGGGAAAAGGCAAAGAGAGAGGGAGAGAATCTCAAGCAGGCTCTCCACCGGCAGTGCAAAGCCCAAAGTGGGGCTTGAACTTACGAACTGTGAGATCTTGTTCTGAGCCAAAACCAAGAGTTGGATGCTTAACTGACTGAGCCACCGAGGCATGGGTGTCAAAGTTTCTTAATGCAAACCTCATCCACTCTTTGTGGATCAAAAGATAGCTTTCTAGAGGAAACTAAGGGGAGACCTGAAGATGTTTAACAATCGGCCACGGGAAGGCCATGGGAAGTGTGCGTTGGAAAAGCGGCACAAGGACAGGCAGGCCTTAATATTCCAGGCAAGGCTGACATCACAGAAACACAGTGGCCTCAAAAGACTAGACATGAGAGAAAGCATGCCAAGGTGGAGGATTTACAATTACTTTAGGGTAGAGGCAAATATACAGCCATTAAGACAGAAATGGTAGCCATCTCTTCTGAAGGCCTTTATCCTGAGCAAAAAAAGGATGTGGCTGCAGGAGAGTAACTACAATCGGATTTGTTTGTTTTACAAAGACATATGCATACTTAGGGGCATGTGGGTGGCTCAGGTGGTTAAGTAACTGACTCTTGATCTTGTCTTAGGTCATTATCACACAGTTTGTGAGTTAGAGCCCCCCAGAGTGGGGCTCTGTACTGCCAGTGTGGAGCCTGTTTGAGATTCTCTTTCTTCCCCTCTCTCTCTCTAACCCATTCTGCTTGCACCCATTCTCTAACACTCACAAAATAAATAAACCAACTATTTAAAAAAAGATACATATATATCAACATATATTTAGAGAGAGGGATGGGGTGGGGTGGAAGGAAGGGGAAAGGGGGAAGTAAAGGAGAAAGGGAAGTAAAGGAGAAGGAGAGAGGGAGTGGAGAGGGAGAAGTACTAGGGAGAAAGAATTCAAGAGGGGAAAGTGAAACAGTAGAGCATTAAGAGAGCTGTTAGAATACAGCCAAGAGGTAATTGTGTCTGAGCTATTAAAGTAGCAAGAAATATGACGAAAAATAGGCAGACAGCAACAAGACTGAATTGATAAGACTTGGTAACTTGATGAAGGATCATGCAAGAACTCATGGTTGACTCATATTTATTGGCCTCTCTTCTATTTATGAAAGCCCACGAAAATGCCTATAAGTGAGGTGATGGGGCTTAAAGAGTACACTTAACATAATGAGCACTGAGTAACATACAGAATTGCTGAATCACTATATTGTACACCTAAAACTAATATAACACTGAATGTTAACTACACTGGAATTAAAATAAAAAAACTTAATAAAAATGCCTATAAATTAATAAAAAATGGAATAAACTGAAACAGAGAGAATGTCATCATTAGCTGAGAATATTTTATCAAAATTCCTGGAATACAGAAAATAAATGGAAACAAATGGTACAAAATACTTAGTGAACATAGAAATAAAAGGGTTAATGGAAAGTCTGGGTAACGAACAAATTCCTCTTTCTCCCATCTGCCCATCCTCTCTCTCCCTTACCATTAAAAAACAACAACAAAATGTTCCCCTTAAAAGAAACAAATTCTAAAGGAAGTTTTACAGGCTCGGCATAAGTACCTCTTTGGTATTTAGGGGATCTCAGCTCAGGGCCCACACTCTTTACTTTACTATAAAGGAAAGCATACCAGTCCAACAAAACATAATTGTCCATTCTAAAGATCACAAGACAACTGGAGGAAGGAGGACAGACAGATGGACAGAAGATAAACATAACAGCTAACACAGAAAGAAATAATTTAGAGTGAAGTATTTTTAAAATCCTGTTAATTAGTAGTATCCTTAAAGAATTGTGAAATCACAAAACATGACCAACTGTAACCTAAAAAGGATTATAAATGAAGATTAAAGGGCTTCTGAAAATTAAAAATACGGCTGCAAAAACAATTTTCCCCCCAACACAAGCAACTTTTACATTGATTCTTCCCTATGTCTGTAATAACCCAGGCCAGAATAAGTGTATTTATTTCCAAACCACTTTGAAGTTTGTCACTGAAATGTAACTTTTTCATGGGGTTTTCCCTATGTATCCTATTTAAAATTATAAATCGCCTTCCCTTACATACATTTGTCTATAGATGCCTTATTTTTATTCTTCTCATGTTCCTTGCAATGGAATCTTTTATTTACTTCTTTTTAAATTATTATTATTATTATTTTTTTAACATTTATTTACTTAAGAGACAGAGACAGAGCATGAGAGGTACGAGCCCAGCATCAGGCTCTGTGCTCCCAGCTCACAGACCACGAGATCATGACCTGAGCTGAAGTCAGAGGCTTAACCACTGAGCCACCCAGGCTCCCCACAATGGAATCTTTTAAAATGAGAATGCATTCACGAATTACAAAAAATACTAATATATAAATAAAATTGAAATACTGAATGCTATTTTAAATTCTGAGTAAATTAAATATAGAATATCTTCTTTTGGCATATTTCCTCATGATAAATTCCTAGAAGTGCAATTTCTGGTTCAAAAGGAATGAAGATTATTACCAAATTAAAACAAACAAAAAACCAGCTGAAAATTCAGCCTTTAGACAAAAAGTTTTAAGTACTTATTTTATTTATAAACTATCAAAATGATCTGGAAAGGTCAGTTTTTATGAAGGTTCAAAATCTATGAGGGATTATTTCCCATTACATTTTCAGTAAGACAAAGAGACAGATATGGTTTGTATTTGACTGAAATACAAAAGATATAATTAGCTAAAAACTGTATTAAAAGAGATAAAGTTTTTAGACCATTCTTTCAATGCTATGTATTTAGGTTTAAAATCATTCCTATACTATTTAAAAAATATATATTGATTTTAAATAATTATTTTCTACATCACATTTTTTAAAAAATCTATATATTCATATATTCTCAATTCTTACATTCCCAAACACCTCCCCTCACCCCTCCACCAGAAAACCATTCACACATCTTCAATAAAAATATTTCCATAAGAAAGTTAAAACCTATCAAGAGTCAAATAACTAAAAGTATTGAACACCATACCTTAAAACTCTAAGCAAGAGAGCCTTATGGTTTATGCTAATAGTAAGCCCAATCTCATTACGATGTTTCCACACAAAAATTTGAACTTGTAACATGAAAATGAACATTTTGACTAGAAAAAAAAATTATTTAATTCATCAAGTACCAATTTAAAACATGCAAATTATAGACTTCACATACTTTTTGTAAAGTAACATAATATTTAATACTTAGGGACATATTATAAGAAAATGCCTTTAAAATAACAAGAAAATGCCCATGTCTTTTGAATGGTTAAAAATTTTTACTTTCTGTTAATATGTGTGAGATTCTTAATATATCCTAGGCCATTTTATTTATGTACCTACACATACTCACTTGGTTTAATGTATTATCTGTTTTTAGTTCTTTGTGATTGGAGTACTGGATATAAATTGGTTGGTTACGGAGATGAGGTGTCACAGCAGAATAGTAATTGACCATAGTAATAGCGGCTTCCTCTGTTGCTAGTTCCAAAAATGCCTGAAAATTTAAAAAGCAAATATTTTAATACCATGAATGATATTCAAATAAACTTCAATATCTGTGTAATACATTCAGCTGAGAAAAATCAGTATCTAGACTATACCTTCCCAGTTACTTATCCTTACTTATCCTTATTTTCCATATACCACAAATGTCCCCCCAACAAAAGCTAAAGAAAATAAAATCTAAACATTTTCTAATATCAGATTTTTACTACTCTTAGAACATAAGAAATCTCAGTCATTTTTAAAGCAGTATAACTTGAGAGACCAAGAAAAAAATTAAGAATGAAATGTCAGATTAGTGAGAGAGAATGTTAAATTTCACAAGTTCTTCTAAATTATATCATTAGAAATCTTTTAATTTTTTTTAATGTTTTATTTTATTTTTGAGACAGAAAGACAGAGCATGAGTGGGAGGGTGACAGCTCTAGAGAGAGGTATCACAGAATCGGAAGCAGGCTCCAAGCTCTGAGCTGTCAGCACGGAGCTGATGCAGGGCTCAAACACACAGACCAGGAGATCATAACTTAAGCTGAAGTCAGATGCTTAACCAACTGAGCCACCCAGGCACCCCTATCATTAGAAATTTTAAAACAAAATTTTAATATGCCTGGGCCCCTCTGCCACAGGTACATTTATTAAATGAAGAATATCTAGGACTAATGACTATTTTCTCCTAATGCTATCAGATTAACATTTCCATGAGCTTAGCTTAAAGTAGAAGCTTAAGTAAGCTTAAAGTAGAATATGCTACTAGTGTCCACACTTCTCTGATATTAGAGCCATAATACAAGAAATACTTCATTAGAAGTATTAGAATCTCATTATAACTGTTCAGTTAGTCCAAAAGTGAATTCAAAAGGCAAAATTTAAAAACTTATTAACTCATTCATTTTGGCTCCCTACTATTAACTTCCCAAACACCATTACCACGAAAAGTCAGTCTTTAAGACTTTTGTTACACTCTTTTAGAAAAGTTAGGACCTACTATATTCTACCCTTTTATTAGGAGACAGCTAATTCACACATACTGAATACTGTGGGGCTTAACAATTTCATCAGTCCTGAAAGATGCATACCTGATTTTTCCCTTTCAGCATAAGGATGTTGGTCACCTTACCGAAAGGTAAGCCTAAAGCAATAACTTCAGTTTCTGTCACTTCACCAGGTAACTTTCGAATATGAAGTACACGAGAAGGAGCACCATCCATTTTATCTTCTCCTTTAAATTTTTTACTATCATTACCATTGGCTGAAAAACATTAAATAGTTTATTAATTTTCCTCATGTGTATAAAAAACCCACAAAACAAAGTTTAAAAAAGAACTTAAAAACATAGCTGAGTATACCTGAATAATTCCTAAAAATTAAAAAACTAAGCGTTTAAAAGAATAGAGAAAAATCATATCCACCAATTATTATCAAATAAAATTATGTTAACAATTAAGGTAACTACTCAGTAAATGTTTCTGAACAGTATATATATGTAAGGAGTAACAAATTACAAGCAAAAACATTAAAACGCAATTTTGGTAAGTAATTTTCCAATGGCGAAAGAACACAATTATCTTACAATTTAATCATCTTATTACAGACTAACAGAAATACCAAAAAAAAGGTAAAATTGTGACAACAATAATTAGGGTGACAGGAAATTATAAGTGGCTTTATTTGGAAAATATTGTACTGAAAAAGTGGCATCAAGGAAGACAATGTTGTAAAAACAGTTATGCAGTCAATCCACATTACAGCTGACCTACAATGGGTCTCTTCTAATTTATTAATATTACCACTTAATCCACCTAAGTATTTTGTCACTATCAACATCTATGTAATACAACACTCATTAACTGTTATTCTGACCTTTAAAATAAACGGATGTATTTTTATCTAACAAATCAGTTACCTCCCTCCCTTTATTCCAAAGCCTCACCAAAAATAAAAGTCCTACTAAAGATATAATAAAATAGGTGATGTTTTATGTAAAACTGATTGAAGAACTTGCAATGTATCCAGTATTCCACATGGGTAGTTCCTAATCATCTAAAGACTAAGGATATTTCTGAAACTAACTAAAATGAAGGATCCTGAATACACTGAGAAATATGTATGTATACTCCACTTGTGTATAATTTTAGATACTTCATGGTACTCCCCAAATCAACACTATCCATAAACATTATGTGTGTGTGCTGTGTGTGTATATATTTTCAACAGTATCTATAAAATTCTAAGCTTGATCTCTAAGAGCTCTAAAATTCATTTACACATTGATTTGTTAAGAGTTACTAAGTATTAAGAACATGTTTGGCACTGTTTGAGGCTCTGGGGGATACAACAGTGAACAAAATGATCAGTAAGATCCCCAATGCTCTCTGACAGTCTAGTGGGAGAGGTGGACTAACTAGTACATGAACAAAATAATCCCTTATAGTGATTTAGTGCTATGATAGTGACTATATTGGATGATCAAAGAAGTAATCTCGAGGAAATAATATGTGAACTCACTTGATAATTAACTTGTTAAGTTAAATTTAAGTCATATTTTACTCTAAGAGCTTTACTGATGTTTATGTACAGGAATGGCCAGCCAATGCCTTTAGAAATCCCCCTTGGATGGTTTTGTACAGAAGAGTAATAGGCTCTGCCCTCTGGATATATTACCATGAAAATCTTGCTGGCTAGCTCTTAATCACTCCAGAAATATGAAAAACTAAAGGAAGCCCTCTACACTTCATTTCATAACTAAGGAAGATCTGTACATACACAAGCATCTGAACATATCTGAAAAAAGAAAGAGGCTGAATTTTGTTTCGTGGTATTTTACTAAACAAAATAATGACTGGGTCTGTTAGCTGAAAATGTAAATAAAGCAGGAATTTAAGAATACATATATACTTTAAGACTTGTAATTGGCATACAAACATACTCTTATGTAAGACTAAAGCCTTTTCTTGACAGAGCAAACTGAGTACAGAATCCTGATAATTTTTGTTCCTGTTCGTTCGTTGGCTGGAATAACAAGAATGAATACCTCATAATCCAAACTAGAGCCCCGTGAGTTATAGGTTATGGTATCAGTAAATTTCAGTTTTTCCTAATTTAGTCTGTCCTTCTTCTGGGGGGAAAAAGACAAGAAAAATACATCACAATAAAGATAATGTGTATTACTGCATACATAAAAGCTTGCCTTTTCAAATTATTTTTAGAATATGACCCCCAAAAGGTAATAGCCTGCATTTTCCTATTATAAAGAAAATAGAATATTTTATTGTTTTGGATTTGTGTTAGATAATTTCTGGACAGTGTGAAAACAGCTAAATAATACAGAAGGGTGGAATCATTTTGAAAGTCAAAGAAAATAATTAACCTGTTTTTTTTGAAGCTACTTTTCTTTTACATCAATATTTAACATTCTCTGCAAGTTAACTGCATGCCATGCACTGCACAACTCTACAGTAGAATCCCATTTATGGATAAGAGCTAGTTAAGTCGACCAAGGTCAGACACTAAGTAGTAAAAGACAGGAAATAATAGAAAAAGACTGAAACTCAGGATATATGACTCTATGGCCTATGGTCTTAACCCACTACACTATATATGGATCCTAAAGACAAATATCGCATTATATACAATGCCAACAGAGGATCTGTCCTTTTCTTACAAAAGCCATGTAACATCAAAACTTAAACTTTCATCACACTCTGATATTCCCTCAGTTAGTTTATAGTTTTAGAAGAGGCAAATACTATATATTCATATTTTAGTACTAAATATTCCTATTTTTGGTGTTAAATATTATCAAAGTTTTCATTTTAGATAATGAGAATGTAAGAACATGAAATTGGGAAATAAGGACTTCTTTAATCATATGACTAAGCACACTTTCAGACATAAAAACACTCCAGCCCTACAAAAGAAAAAGGGCACAGGAAAATGTATAGAGAAGTAAGGAAAATTGGGTCTCTCTGGGTTACAGGTCTAGGATTTTTCAAAGGCAAAGACAACAATCTGAACTTCTTTCCATGATCTATTCCCTTCCACTCCCCGAGTAAATCCAAAAACTTTTGGTTTGTGTATGTAAAGCCAGTAATTAAAATGATTTCTAAGAACTTAGGCAACAATATAGTAATACTTGTATTTAGGCATACAGGTTGTATATAAATTGCAGAAATCTTTAATCATATTATTTTCCATATCCTATATTATTTGGCTTTCTTAAAGCCTTTTGCTTAAGATGTTCTTCTCAAACTTGAAATAAATAATATGTAAAAATTTGTAAAAACTGTTTCTATTTGAATACTTCTCTGCCAAATTTAAAGTGACCATATTCATTCACCTTTTATCAGTCTTCTCCACCCTGCCCCTCCCCCCCCCTGCAACGTGGCTTTCATCAGAGCTGCCAAGATGAGCCGAAGAAACCTGTCTGCATTCTGGAACTTTCCCTATGCCCTTGCCCATCCCTCCAGCAGAACTGCTAAGGAGCAGAACCACAGTCTGAAGGCTGGCAGGCGAGGGGAGGGGAGAGTAGCAG